TTTTTTTTTGAGACAGGGTCTATCACTGGCATGTACCTTACTAGATAGGCCAGGCTGGCTGGCCAGGGAGCCCCAAGGATCCATTCACCCATCTTTGTCTCCCCAGGCTAGGATTACAAGTGTGCATTGCCATGCCTGGCTGTTCTATGTGGGTTTTGGGAATCCAACTCAGATTCTCATTCTTACAAGGCAAACACTCTACTGACAGCCATTTCCCCAGCTCTTCAGTGTCCTTTTCTGTGAAATGGCCTTAACGTTAATGTGACATTGGAGAGGGCCACTTTGAGAATTAAATGGTGAACATGTCTAAAACTCTCAGACCAAGACCTGGCAGCAAGTATCAGCTGAAATGATGCCAGGCTGTTCTTATGAGCTCTGCCAGGGATTGTGTTTTCTGGACCTTTACAAAAGGGATGGAAAGTCAAACTTGTAGAGTTTCATGTACCGCATTCAACACACACCTGACACGTGGCAAGCTACCATTCACTATAGTTAGCATCATGACTGCTAGACCTACTCCTGAACTGTCACCAGGGCAGACAGGTTCCCTCCAGCACATAAGTTTACTAGCGTGAATTAGCCTGTGCCATTCAGCAGCTCTTAATGAGATTGGTGTTACTTGAGGCTGATCCCCTTATCAGTGGTGTTGTGAAGTACGCCGCTCACAATGCTTCGTTTCCCTCCATGAAGCCAATCCTTTAATCCTGATTCAGCCTAGCTGGGATTCCGCCTGGCTTTGCACTGGATGGTGGGGAAGGCATTCTCTGGCTGCGCTGGACCAGCAACCCTTTGGCAACTCTGAACAAGCCGAGATGCTGGGGATAGTGGGGCCACTTCCTGGCTCAGCCATACTTGCCGGAGTGATGGGAAAGCACCCCCATACAGACTCATGCCTCATTACAGCATCCCCCAGTTGGTAGAAACAGGGGAAGCTCAGGAGAGGAGAGGGAGGGAGAGAGTGAAGGATAGAGAGAGAGAGCGAGAGAGAGAGAGAGAGAGAGAGAGAGAGAGAGAGAGAGAGAGAGAGAGAGAGAGACTGAGACTAACAGAGACAGATGGTGGAAGGTGGCATGAATGAATGTGAATTAACTGTGGGAGGCTGGGCTGTGAGGTACAGGAACCAGGCTTGGTACCCAAAGAGAGGGACCATGGCTACCACCAATCCAAGGCTGTAGGTTCCCCCTTGAGGGCATGTCTAAAAGCTTTGAACCATTCCTGGCTGATCATGGAATCAGTGGGAGATGGGAAATATCTGTAAGTGGGGTGAAGACACCAGGCAACAGGCGTCTGTGTGTCCCTGCTTTAGAGATGGGGACAGTTTCCTGCCTGAGGTTTCACAGCATTTAGAGAGAAGAACTAGAATCCCAGAGTCCTGACTACCACTCACAACTCAATTGTGTTTGTAGAGTGACTTATAGGGGAGGGGAAAAAAGCTCTCCCAAGGCAGTAAAAATTAGTGCCTTCATGTACAGCACTCTCCTTGAAATGAGTGAATGGAGGCTGGAGTAACATCACATTATCTAGAAGATGAAATCTAACTCTGTGTGGTGGTTTGGATAAGAATCGCACCCATAGGCTTATGTATTGAATTCTTAGTCATCAGGGAGTGGTACTACCTGAGAAGGATTAAGAGGTGTGGCCTTGTCAGGGTAGCTGTGGCCTTGTGGGAGAACGTGAGTCACTGGGGGTGGGCTCTGAGGTTTCAAAAGCCAAAGTCAGGCCTAATGACTCTCTCCTCCTGCTACCTGTGGATCCGGATGTGGAACTCTCAGCCAATTCACCAGCACCATGTCTGCCTATACAGTGCCGCCACACTCCCCGCCTTGAGGATAATGAACTAAATCTCTGAAACTCTAAGCAAGGCCTCAATCAAATGTTTTCGTTTGGAAGAGTTGCCATGGTCATGATGACTCTTCATAGCAATAGAAACTAAGAAGTCGGTACCAGGGACTGGGGTATTACTGTGACAGGACTGACCGTATTGCTTGTGGGTGGAATGTAGACTTTGGGACTTTGGATTAGGAAATCAGTTGAATGCTTTAAGTGGGGTTTAATGGGCCATATTAGTAGGAGCATGGAAGACAGTGCTGAAGCTGATGTGAACTGTAGAGGCCAGCTCAAGAAGTTTAACAGGGGAAGAATATTAGTAAATGGCCCTAGAGATCATTTTTGTGATATTCTGGGCAAAGAATGTGGTTGATATTTGTCCTTGACTGAAAAAATCTACTTGAGTCTAATTTGAAGAGTTCTGGATTAATGGCACTGGCAAAAGAGATTTTCAATAACAGTGTCACATGGTCATTAGTGGCCGGTCTTATGCAGATCTATTATGAAAAGGAGCAAGTTGTTGAGCAAGGAAAAAATACAAATTGTACAGTTTGAGGAGAAAAGGAGGAGCACCAGGAAATGTAATAGAGCTAAGTCCAGGGCTCAAGGACACAAAAAATTTAAAGAAAAGCTTGAAGCTAAATGGGATAAAAGGAGTGGTGACCTCAGGGCATGACCCCACCTAGCTAAGCTTCCAACTTGTGAAAAGGAATTAAAGAAAAGATTAAGCAGTGAAGGAAACCGTCAGCAACAGAAAGCTGATGCAGATATAACGGAACAAGGGAACCTGCTCCAGCCCTAGCAAGCTGCAGAATTTGGCAGCTTTGGTCAGGTGGTTCTGGTTTTAGAGTCAAGGACAGAAGAAAGGTATCTCCCTAAAAAACTTTCCTCATGGCTAAGGAGAGCTGCCGAGGCCAGGCATGTGCCAGGGGTGTCCCTGAATGGAAGCCCAGAGAGGCCATTGTGTGAAACTGTGAAGGTGAAGCCTGGATTGTGTTGGAAACCCCAAAATGTTGAAGATGCCGGAGCCATGAGATTCCTGACAAAGAGAGCTGCAGACTGGGTGTGGAACCAACCCAAGAAAGAGAAATGTGTTACAGTCAACAGAGCTGGAAAGAGTTGGAGATCTGAAGAGCACTTTGACATCAGACATGAAGATGAGGAATGTGGAGTTTGCCCAGCTGATTTTTAGTCTTGTTTTGGTCCAGTATTTCCCTCACTATGCTTCCTTTCCCCATTTTGGAATGGTAATGCATATTCTGTGCCATTGTATATTGGAAGCATGGGATCTGCTTTTTGACTTTGGTTTTACAGGTTATTACAGTTAAGAGAATGTCATGAGTCTTCACAAGAGACTTTGAACTTTGGACTTTCAAACAGTGCTGAGACTGTGATAGACTATGTAGACTTTTGAAGTTGGACTATGTGCATTTCTGGATTAGGATATGGCTACAAGTCTATGGGGGCCAAGGAGTGGAAATGTAGTGGTTTGAATAAGAATGGTCCCATAGTTTTACATATTTTGAATGCTTGGTCATCAGGGAGTGGCACTACTTGAGAAGGATTAGGAGGTGTGGCCTTATGGGAGGAAATGTGTCACTGGGAGTGGGTTTGGGGGTTTCAAAAGCCAAAGCCAGACCCAGTATGTCTCTCTTTCTTCTACCTACAGATCCGGATGTAGAACTCTCGGCTACTTCTCTGGCACCACGTTTGCCTGAGTGCCGCCATGCTCCCACTATGTTAACGGACTCAACCTCTGAACGGTAAGCCAGCCCCAATTAAATGCTTTGTTTTATAAGAGTTGCCATGGCCATGGTGTCTCTTCACAGTAATAGAACAACCTGTAAAGCTGAGGGCTAGCCAGGCCCAATCTGGAGGCTCTGTAAACCTCAGGGGACACAATTAATAACAACAACTGGTGATATCAACAGTGTCAACTACTCGGCCCCCATCATGTTCCACATACATTTTATATAAGATTTCTTTTCAATTCCTTCATTTTTTTTTTAAACAAGGTCTTACGGTGTTACTCAGAATAGCCTTGGATTTGTGATCCTCCTGTCTCAGGTTCCCAGAGGCTGAGATTATGGGTGTGCACCACCACTCCACTTCACATGCTATTTCTAATGCCTCTAGAAGAACTATCTGGAGGGACAGGTGCCAGCTGCCCCTTTGCCCAGATGCATGGTGGTTCCTTTTGCAAGTGTTGGTTGAGCAGAGGTTCTGGGCACCCTTCTCCCACAGATTCAGGATGGTCATGCACCTAAATGCCCACTGGTAGAAATTGAGCACATAGGCTTCGGGTCACTTGTATATCCCCTTGCCTCTCCCCACACCCACCAGCCGGAGAGAAAAAAGCCCCTGAGTACCCAGGGGAGTATAGGGCCATAAGAGGGAAGGGACTTGGATCCCTGAGTACCCACATGGGAGGTCCCCAGCCAGGCTTCTTGTGCAATGGCTGTGTGGTACATTGTAACCTGTTTGTGGAGATACTGGGAATTGGGGACTCTCCCTACTGACACACAGTATTTCCCTGAATTAGACCAGGAATTAGACCAGAAGCCAGTGGCACTGTAATTCATGTCTGCAGGTCCAGGCTGGGAAGCTGAACACCTGTGCTGTGCAGCACAAGTGTGAGGACAGGCTCCGAGAGTCGAGCGTAGAAGCCTGAGCCTGAGGTGGAGCTGTGCAGTGTGTCTTACACTAGCAGCCTGTGAACAGCCTCAACATCCTTCCAGCTAATTCCTTCAAGAGCTCCAGGGTGAGCACCAGGGCTTTGGAGAGGGAGAACGGTCAGTGCACAGGACTGCTTGGGGAAGGTCTGAGCCCAACCCACCCAACTGCTGGCCTCTCTACCACCAGCCTCTGCTCATGTTGACCTTGAACCATACTCAATGCCCATTTCCAGGCCTCTTTTCCTGGCCTGCCACCTCTGGGAAGCCCGTCTTCCACTCCCAGCCCCAACTCATCATCCTGAGCCTGAGCTGAGATCCCAGAGCTCAGACTAGCCAGTGATGAAGGACTTCACCGGCTGGGGCTCAGAGGGTGGATGCCCAGGAGTGACAGCATTGTGTGTGTGTCGGGTTAGGGGTGAGATGGGGAAGGGGTGTGTGCTCTGGACGGGCTCTGCTGGCCGCTTCCATTTGTGTGTCTGGGGTCCCTCTTGGTCTTACCTGCATGGGACTGCATGTGCTCCAGCAGGTTGCTGTAGAACTGAAACTGAATCCCACAGGCGCCGCACGTGTAGGGTTCTGGGGAAGACAGGTGACATGTGACAGGTACCCCGACACTGGGCTGCAAGGTGGGGACCCAGATGCATACTTGGGGCCCAGGGCCCAGCCTGTCCACTGGTCTGTCACTAGCCTGGAGAGGGAAACGCTGAGGAGAGGCAGAGGCAGAGGAGGGAAGACACGCAGATGTGGGCTGCTCTACCAACGGGCCTGCTCCCTTATCGAGTGCTTACTTCATGACAGGCACTGTTCTGAGTGCATGGGAAGGACAACATCCAGGCACCAAGCGAGCGCTCTCAGGAGACACACTGTGTCCCTTGGGGTCCACAGCTCAGCCCTCTGCCCGTGGGACCACACGGTGTCACTGCTCACGGAGGGAACAAATGAGGAAATGCACGAACGAACCGAACGAGGAAACTCACGACGAGAGAGGAAGAAAGCAAGGAGGAAAAGAGGAGAGGGAGGAAAGCGCAACAGTGGGGTACACTGGAGAGGAACAGGAGGGGGAGCTGAGGGGAACAGGCTGCACCATCAGCTCTGTGGATCCAGTACCTGGCAAAGAGGGAGGAAGAGGAAGCAAATCGCTATTAGGTAGAAGGGAGGGAAAGAGGGAGGCTGGGAAGAGGAGTCCTGAGGCTGTCTGGATAGCCAGGGGTGGGTAAAGCTGTCTCTCCTGTGTCCTGAGGGCTCTGACCACCTGTCCATGCTTCTCCACCCTCCTGGGCCCTCTGCAGCCTCCCCAGGCTGGGTGTTCCCTGGAGGGTGGCCCAAGGCCTGTCTACATCTCAGTGAGGCCAGCAGTGTTCACTCCCTGCCCTGCCTTGCCCGCTTCAGCCCCCCGAGCAGGACCATCACTTACTCTGCAGGAGAGGGAAAGGATTGGAAATCAGGGGACTGGCAGTTTCTGCAAAAGAGAAACAGTTTAGCTAAGAGTTTTTTTTTTTTTCAGTCCTGGGGCTGGGAGGTCATTACACATTCTGAGCCGGGGGGCGCTTGCAGTAGGCACACAGGTCTGTGTAGGAAGGTGGGTGAGAGGGTCCTGGCAGAGAGGCTACGCGTATCAGGGAAGGCAGGTATCCTGGGGCGCTGGTAGGGCCATTTCTCTAGGGTGCTCTGACAGTGGGACTCGGGTATGATGCCCAATAGGTGGCCACGCACTTGGCGACAGGATGTTGGGAGCTGTTTCCAGGTTCTGACACCGGGGTTAGAGTGCTTGATACCAAAGCACCTGAGTGGGCCTGGAAGGTTGTTTGCTGGCAATCCCCCATACTGCCTGGCACTGCCAGAGGATGAGGCTGGCAAGCCTCCAGTCTAGCGGGTAGCAAAGGTGAAGTGCAGGCTGAGTATGGGGTTCCTGGCTCTACCTACAGCCTGGGGGGGTCTGGGGCCACAATGGGCTTCTCCTGAGCCTCAGTTCCCTCATCCAGAAAGTGAGAGTGAACGGAACACTATCCCCACAGGATCATGGTATGGGCGAAAGAGATACAACACACAGAGCTCTGAACATGTGCCAGCCACGTCGTAAGCGCTCAATAAATAGTGGCTGCCAGCAGCCGCCGCCGCTGCCGCAGCCGCCGCCCACGGCAGCTTCATTCCCAAACCAATGCTAGCCTTGGTGGCAGGAGAGGCGCAAGGGGTGCAGCATGGCTTGGCTGGGAGCCCAGGCCAGACCAGGAGGTCTTGGTTCTAGTTCCAGGCTGCCACTTCATCCTCTGCAGCCTCGGATGGGCCACGACGTCCCTCCTAGACCAACCCCTTAGAGAGGCTCTGGGATCCCAGTGACAGCCCCGCATTGGTGCTTGTGCCAATGGCTTGGTTTACATCAAAGCAAACCAAGGCAAAATGGCAAACAAACCTCAAAGCAGTATACCCTCCTCTCCTGCCTGTGTTCTCCGGGGTCGTTTATGCTCCTCAAGGACACATAACCAAGGAGGAATTAGGGCTCACCTAGGGCACTCACCGGAGGCAGTAGAGCTAAGTTCAAACCTGGGCCCCAGAGGAGTTTCGACTATTACTAGGCAGAAACCTCCACCTGGTGTCTGTGCTCCTCACCACTTGCTGAAGCCCACGGTGGCCAAGATGTACACCATTACCTGTGTGCACCAGGCAGCGTTGGCATGGGGGCATTCACGCAAGCCTGGTATGCAGTGACGTCAGCTTCACAGTGGCAGAAGATCTGTCCCTTCCTGTCCTGGCCATCACTGTGCATGCCAGCCTGCGGTCCCTTTCTCAGACAGAGACTGCTGGTGACCACTCACATTACTGCCAAGGGTAAACTCTGGAATCCAAAGCTGTCTGTCCTGCCGGCTCCAAGGTGCCACTAGGATCCAGAACGAGGCAGCCACCGGGTGGCAGCAAACACTATCAGGAATGCTCATGCAGAGCACAGCATTCATTGCAGGGGCTAGAAGAGCATCTGTTCTGTGGTCCCAGGTCCAGTGTGGTCCAGAACCTGGGGCCTCTGGCTCCTTTAAGACGTCTTTCTACTGCACCCCGTTTGCGTCTCCTGAAAAGAAGCCTGCTATGGTATTACTTTTAACTTAGCTATTGGCTCTCTTTGGGCTACCCATCTGGGCTGGCTGAACTGATGCCTGGGTTTGGGATTAAGGAAGTTCCCCTCTCCAGGGGCAAGGGACAAAGGGTCAAAGTGCAGCCATAGAAGGGCTTCCATGGGCACAAATGCCCCTTCTGCTCTTCACAGGCTCTGCCGTCTCTTGATTTCACTACTCAGCTCCCCTCCTACCTACACCAGAAGACCCCAGTCACAGGCACTGCCCTTCTGAGGGAGGAGGCGACAGTACAGTACAGTACATCACAGGCACACTCACCACTGGAATTCTGTGAGCTGCTGTTGGTCTCGTCAAAGTGGTTCTGTGCTTTGCCTTCTACTCGCCGACTGAAGGTGCTTTCTGCTGGGTGGGCAGGGAGAGGGGGAGAGAGAGAGGGAGGGAGAGGGAGACAGAGAGAGAGAATGAGAATATGACATGTGGAGAGGTCAGCTTGTTCGTCAGGCCAGAGTGGGCAGAAGGTTCCTAGACTTGGGAGAATATAGGAACTCTGCTGATCCCTGAGCCACCTGGTCCCAAGAGACTCTCTGGGTAGTGTCTGGGAGGTATAGGGATGGAGGGGGAAGGAGTGATCTGCCCAAGGACACACCAATGTAATGCACCCAACGAGCAGACAGGGAACAGGTCAGGGCCCCATTTTTTTACTCCAGGGCCATATGTGTAAGGCCAAGTCATTTGAACGACTTTCTTCTGTTCCCCCTGGCAGGTTCTGCTGCTACAGCGCCCCCCCCCCCCCAAAAAAAAAGAGGATGGAGGATGACAGCGCATTTTCTGGGCCCACTAAGTATCTCAAGGCATAAAGGATGTCTTGGGACAGGCACATGACAAGGAGGAAGGGGGTAGTAGTATTTGCTCTGGAAAGGCCAAAGACTAGGTGAGGAGGGTTGGAACTCGTAGTGGAGGGGGAGTGCTTGGCTCCTTGTGAGCCATGTCTAGCATCCTTCCAAAAGCTCACCGTCTCCCAGGCTCTCTCTCTGGAAACTCCATAATGCAGAGAGGGGATCAGCCAAGCAGAACTCGATAGCTATAGCCCCAGCTGCAGAAGGTAACCCAGCCTTTCCATGGTGCTCCAGGTGCTCCAGGGCATGGCTGATCCAGGAGATGGGAGTCTCGGGAAAGTCAATTTGAGATACTCAACTAGCCCTGACCCTTTTAACAGCTTGGATGAGGCAACCACAGGCTCAGAGAAACTGACTAGAAGGCGAGTCACTGAACTTTAATTAATGCATCCTCCAAAATAGTGGGGGTCCTGGCATAACCCCATTTTAAAGATTGGATTCTGTAATATCTTTCCAAGTGGTGTTTCTGGGAATTCACTTGGAGAAACACCACTCACCAGGTCCATCCTACCCAACAAAGTGCTGGGTGTTGGTGCTCTGGGTCAGGGGTGACATGGGTGATGGATGCAAAAGGCAGCCAGAGGCAGCTCCTATAGGCCTGCTCAGTTCTTTCCCCATCACTTCAAGGTCTCCCATAGCCTGCAGAGGCTGCTAGCATTAGGACCATTGCTCCCTCTGTGTCCATAACAGCCTGGGTTGAGCGTCTCTAGACAGCATGCAAACTGGCAGAGTCCTGTTCATTCTCTGTCTACAGGGTGCAAGGGGCTCTCACTCTTGAGCACCTACTGTATACCAGCCACAGGGTCAGAGGTCTGCCATCATGGTCTCCTTGAATCTTCCCCACACCATGAGGCTGTGTGATACTGCCCATGGAATGGAAGAAAAACAAACTGAAGTCAGCAGGCTCCTAGCCACTACGATGGCGTGTGAGGCTTAACTGGAGGCAGGTGCTTCCCTTGTAAGAAGGGAGGGCTCCTCTTCTCTCCTGCAGCCTGTGTTCACAGGGGACAGGCAGGTAGGCAGAATCTTTGTTCTGACTAGCACATGGGTGAGACTTGGTGCAACTCAGGTCACCAACGCCTGTATTAAGTCCCCCATTGCTCGACTTTCCTGGTGCAAGGGCGTCTGGTTGGAAACCAGTGTGTGCATGTCCACATGCACACAAACAGCCATATTCTCTAGGAGGGTGACAGTGACAGTCTCCACCTTGCACCACTTCATAACCCCTGCCACCTCCTGCTCCCGACCTGCTGCCCATGGACTTGACCAGCTGGTTAGCCCAGGTCAAGACCCACCACAGGGCATCCAAGTCCCAGAGGCAGCTGCTGGTGTGCCCTTGGCTTGCTGGGCACTTGGCTGAAGATAGGGGCATTCAGTGAGTGCCAAATGCCATGCCAGTCCCGGCAGACAATTCTCAGTGGAAGCTGAGGGCCTTTGCAAACTCAGTCACAAAGCTCAAGAGAGCAAAGGCAGAAAGCCATGACCGTACCATTTGGTGAGCCAATGCCTGCCTCCAAGGGGACCATGATGGCCAGTCTTTCCAACCCTTTTAAGGTGCTGAGGACCGAACCCAAGCAAGGCCTTCCACAATCACTACCACTGAGTTATATCCCCAACCCTCTTTTCTTACTTTAAGACAGGGTCTAACTAAGTTGCCCAGTCTGGCCTTGAACCCACTCTATAGCCCAAGCAGGGCTTGAACTTTTGATCCCCCTGACTGTAGTCAAACACACGGTACTTGAAAAAATCCACACTTCAAGGTTGGCTGACTCCTCTCCTTTTGGGAGATATAAGCACATGAAACAAAAGACCACAGCTTGGCCCAAATTAGCTTGTTAAACCAGAAGAAAGGCAAGTACCACTAATTACCCAGCCAGGTCAATAGCCACCAAATGACGCCAGGCGCTCATTTATCTGACCTTTCAGTGGAATCATTCTGTGTGTTTAGTGGCTAGCTTTGGCCTCCTGAAGGCAACTGAAAGGCCCACAGCCCCAGAAAGTAGAGCACCATCATCTGGATAAGTGGCCCAAGGCTTTCCTTATATGAGTCTGAGACTCGGGATTCCATAGTAGGTCTTATATTCTAGAGGAAATGATCACTGGGGACTTTGCTGCTCAGTCACCTTCTGGAGCCAGGGCTCCTTTTTGCATGGGCCTGGAAACTTCTGGAGCTGGCATCCTCTGGTTTCCTGCTGGGCCTCTATCTCCAGGAGGGTTTCATGGGGGAACTCTAGGGAGTGGGAGGGAGACAGAGCTCGAGGCAGCCACCCTACTTAGTGGAGAACATCTCTGCTGAAACAGCCTGAGACAGTTTTCTGGAAGGTGAAAGTGCAAGCTCACACGAAGGGGTCCAGACAGAATGAACTGGGCGGGGTGGTCACAGACAACAGTGTGCTCACGATGGTAAACGGTACCTGCCACGGGGCCACTGCGGCAGGGGTGCAGCAGGGAGAGGTGGGGCTTGTGGAACAGGGGAAGTGCATAGACACCAATTGTGAGGGAGGCACCAACCACTGCCCTGCAGGAACACGGCCTAGGAGCCAGATCAGATGTCTCAGCACAGTCAGAAACCCGGAGTTCTACACAGACTCTTCTCACGGTCAAACACTTCCAATTGATCTTTTATAAAAAGCTTTTAAACTTCATAAAGGCCAAATAAAACAGACTCCCTTAGGCCATGATTTGGGAAAAAAAAATGTATCAAATTACTTTGAAAATGTTTGTAAATTTTGTTGTTTAACCCTCCAATTGAGGTCCAGAACTTGGTCTGCCGGGGTCACAAGTAGCCAGAGGCCATGGGTCCCAATCTGTACCAAAGCATGATGGGACTTCCAGTCTTGTTCTTGCAGGGCAACAGCTATGCGGTGGGCGGGGAGCCAGGGAGGCACGGGTAATGGAGGCCATCTGTACCTGCGGTTGCCTTGCTTGCTGGAGATCCCGAGTTTGGAGTTCGGAATGTCTGAGTTTGGGTAGCTGGAGGGGTGCGGTGTAAGAGGGTGGTACATCGGACCACGGAGGCCGGAGCTTTTTTCCCCGACTGGTTCGTCTGGGTCTTCGCTGCCACGAAGCGTGGAGATGGGGTGACCTCCGGATGGGAACACTCAGAACCCGTGTCTGGATCTTCCGGCGGCTCCCACCCGGGGGCGGTACCTGAGAGGGGCATGTTCTCAGTCCTTGAGGGCCTTCAGAGCCTGCCAAGTGACGGGCCTCTCAGGCCACAGGTCCCAGAAGGCTCACTCTGACACATCTGTGCCCAATCTGCCCTCATTATACGGAGAACAAGGACTCGAGCTCCCACCCGGAGCCTGAGGACCTTTGAGAGTCGAGGATCTTCCCCAGTTTTCTTTTCACTTCAAGGAAGCCTGACCTCCAGTTCATGCTCAGGACTACCTGTTAAGTCACCACCACTTCTGTGAAGTTTCTGAGTGTCTACATCCTTAGACTCGGGGCATCTGGACTATTATCCCAGGCCCAAGTACATTTTCTAGAATGTTGGCCTTTTCGGCCCTTTTCCTTCAAGGGAGTCTGGCTCCTACATGACGATGAAAAGCGGACAGGCAGTGGGTTGAACGGTGGAGCAGGGAAGGGACAGGGGTTGGGAACTGCTGTTCTTAGGAGACTCGGGGCCTGTCACTGTCACAGAGGTATGCCTGTTCCCCGTGAGGTGTGGGAAGTCTCTCTTACCCGCATCCTCTACAGAGCTGGGTTCTGAGAATGAGTGGATTCTCAGGCAGTTTCCACCTCTGGTGGTCTTGGGTGCCCTGCACTTGGCCCTAACCTGACCCACTCAGAAGAGGATCAGACAAGGCCTGCTTCCCGAGACCATGTAAGGTCTACAGCTATGTCCCCTGATGGAAAGAAGGGGACCAGACAGAGTGGGGAGGGGATCCCAGAACCCACCCACAGGAATGAGCATCATCCTGAAGGCCCTACCTGTGCACAGGGCCTGGGGTCACTGCTCTGAACCACTTGGGCTTTCTGGCTCTGTGAGGGTGGTGGAGCCGTGTTAGAATCCTGCTCTCAGGGCAGGGCCCATCCTGGGAGTTGGAGACTTAAACTACCATATCAGAGGCTGAGATGAAGGGCTTTGAGCCCCTGACTTCCAGCCACTCTTAGCACTGATGCAGAAGTCGAGGTCCAAGGAATCTGGGCCCCATGTGAACAACCACAGCTCTTTCATGAGGAGCTGAGCACAGCTCAGGAGATGCTTGCCTTTAACAGGGCTGGCTGTGCCAGGGGAGTCATTCAGTCACAGCTCTAACAAGCTCCAGCCTAGCTGAGGAGATCCCCGGGGCCTCAGTCTGAGCAAGGCCCAGGGAGCTCTCACTGGCAAAGAACACTTCCGTGTTTTCCTTCTCCCCTTTCCTGTTCTTTCTCACTTGAGTCAAACAGGAAGGATGGCTTGTCAGATAGATCCCCCCCTTCGCTGTTACCACAGAAAAACCCGACACACTCAACCTGATACTGCTGCCCCAGGCCCGCCTCTGACTGTTCCACTGTCTCCCTATGGGAGGAACAGTTTAGGAGCCGTGGCTAGAGGCTCACTCTCGGGCCTAAACTGAGGCTGGAAAAGCCAGCTCATAGTGGAAGCCTAGCTCCATGACTTCTGGCCTCAATGGTCCTGGGTTCTGTACTACAGGGGGAGCAGAGTTTCCCCTTCCTACCTCCACTGATGAGGCAGGATGACCCCGGCCCCGAGTGAGCAGCCCCCAAGGAATTCAGTGAGACATCCAGAAGCCAGAGAGATACCTTAAAGTAACTGTTCCTCACATGGAAATTGCTACTGATGTTCCTGCTTGGAGAAGGGGAATCTAAGCCAGGAGCTCCAATGAGATCCTTAGGGACACCCAGCAAGAAGGTGCTGGATGACACAGGATCTGAAGCCAGCCAGAAGCTCAAGAAGGCCTATCAATATCATATATCCCCTCCACGTATCACAAGACACACCCACACATCCAGAGCCCTGGGGACAAGGACAGAGAGTCCATAGCTGCCTGGCCACCTGCTCTCCTGAGAGACCCATCTCTGTCACTGCACCCCACTTCTGGGGATTGTTTCAGTTGATTCCTGCTGTGAAAATCTTGGCATTGCTTACAGCAGGGAGCTCAGGGCACCTATGAAGCACTTGATCTAATAAACACAGACAATTATCTGTTTGCTCCAGCTGTCCTGCCTGGTTCTTCTCACCTCACCAGACTCTGCTCAGGCCCCTCAACTCCCCACTTTCTCAACTCCTCTAACATCTGTTCTCTTCCACGCTCAAGACCGTTGTCCATGTTGTTTCCTTTCATCCCTTAACATTCTGACTGTTGGACCTATGTGCTGCACTGAACATCACTTCCTTAGGGAGCCCTCCTTAAAACTGACTTTCTTGACTATCCGTCCATCTCATCACCTCTTCCTTTCCAGGAACTGACTGCCATCAATGACATTTGCTGTGACCTTTGATGACTTTGCTCTCTAAAGGCCCTAGTGGTCTAGTTTGTACCCCTATCTTCATGCACTGAGTATGGAAGCTCATCACCTGAATGAACCACAGGGAAGGATTCAGAAGAATCATGCCATCCATGAATGAATGCACTGAATAGCCAGAAGAGTGAAATGTAGAATGCTGGAGTAGAGGGCATCAAAGTCAGGAAGTCAACAGAGGCTGTAATGGTGCCACGAGGCTAATCTTATCCTCCCACTGCCTCGAAGTATAAAGCAGAGGGGGTCACAGAGATCTGGTCACCACTTCAGGGTCACTCAATGGGTTGATCCCAAGCATGGATGGATCTCAGCAGGTTCCTAACTCACATTACCCATCAGTCTGCTCCATATGTTTGACCTCACATGGAACACCATCAGGCTTCTACCTGGGACTGTCCTAGGAATGAGCATCTCAAACAGACTGGCTATTGTTCATTGTAAGAAACACACATGAGATTTTTATACGTAACACACCTAACAATGACAGCGTGCAAAGTCTCTCCTGTAGGAAGCTGAAAAATTAACCAAGGCAGAAAAAAAATTAAGAGAAAAGTAAGAGGCTAGAGAGGCATGGGTTGTCTCTAACTCTAGGAAGCAGAGTTGAAGTCAAGGAACCCGTGTCCTAACGCCGAAGGTGGGGACGGGTGGACAACCTTCATGGAATTGTGTCCTGGAAAGAGGACTTCGGGCCACAATGCAGTGGCTGGAACAGGACTGGAGTTTCTGATGAAGCTAGAAAGACAAACCACACCGTGCAGACCTCACCATGTGATCCACAGAGTAGACTCGAGTCCCAGCTCATTCCAAAATCTCCACTGGAGATAGTAAGCTCAACAGAGCAGGGCCAATGGACATGCCCACTCACTGAACATGAACCAGGACGGTGACCAAGGTCAGGGTTTCTGATGAGGCTGGACACTACAGGGCAGAATAACAAACAACAGAAAATTGAGCCAAGAAAGAATTCCAGAAATGTGCAGTGGGGATTCCCTGAAGGCTTTAGCTGAATTCTGCACCATCTGTGTAGAGTGAGTCTCTGCACAGAGAAAACAGACGTGTGTGTGTGTGTGTGTGTGTGTGTGTGTGTGTGTGTGTGTGAGAGAGAGAGATATGTGTGTGAGAGAAAGGTGTGTGTGTGTGTGAGAGAGATGTGTGTGTGAAAGATTGTGTGTGTGTGAGAGAGAGAGAGATGTGTGTGTGAGAGAAAGATGTGTGTGTGTGAGAGATGTGTGTGAAAGATAGATGTGTGTGTGTGTGTGAGAGAGAGATGTGTGTGAGAGAAAGATGTGTGTGTGTGTGTGTGTGTGAGAGAGAGAGAGAGAGAGAGAGAGAGAGAGAGAGATGTGTGTGAGAGAAAGATGTGTGTGTGTGTGTGTGTGTGTGTGAGAGAGAGAGAGAGAGAGAGAGAGAGAGAGAGAGAGAGAGAGAGAGAGAGAGAAGGGGGAAGAGGGAGAGAGAGAGGGAGAGAGAGAGAAGGAGGGAGGAAATGAGGACTCATAGGTCACACTGAAGTCACACAAGATTAGGAGATCTTTGGGTCCCACCTACCAGAGAGGAGAAGGCCTGCTGACGTCAGCAGAGTCACAGGCCATGCCCTGCAGAGCTAAGGCAATGCTGAGGAAGAGCTATTCCTGTAGCCCTAACCCGGTTTAAAGACAAGACTCTGAAGCATTAGTTAATCTGTAAGGAAATTAATTGCCTGCCAGAACTAAGGCAGTGCTTTTCAAAGGAATAAAACACAACCTAGTCAAGTCCACAACATACCATCTATAAGGTGCAGCACAAAACAATTACTTTCAAGGGGAACCAGGAAAATGTAGTTAAAAATCAAAAGGAAAACCAATCAGAAGAAGCATGGAAATAAATATGAGAATGGAATTATGGGACAAAGACCTTAAAGCCATTATTATAAATGTACTCAGAGGTTTAAAGAAGACCATGAATATAATTGAGAACAAGGAAATCTATAAAAATGAATTTGCAGAGATTAGATATTGTAGAAGAAAAGATGAATGAATTTAAAAGCAGGGCAAACTGAAGCACAGAGGGATAATTAGGCTGAAAGAATAAACACTGTAAGCACTATCCGACATCTAATGCATATGCAATTAAAGTCCTGGGAGAGGAAAAAGAAACCAGGGAAGAAAAATAAAAATCTTTTGGTCAAAGCTGACAAATCTCAGCAAAAATCAGATTACTAAGAACTAGTCTTACAGGTTAGTACTTAGAAGGCTTCAGAGGGCTTGAAAGATGACTCAGTGGTTACGATCTAAATTCATGACAGACTGTAATACATCAAAGACATATACTATAAACCACAAAGTGAAAAAGCTGATAGCAGAATATTAATGGAATAAATTAAAAAATACTTGATTAGTACTGCATCAGGCAAGAAAATAAGAATGAAATTGAATAATATGAACAAAAAGAAAAATATATAGTACCAAATGAAATCCAATCATATCAATATGCTATATTAAATGTAAATGGGTTAAACTGTTCAACTAAAAGGAAATAGTTCATTTATTGTACCACAATTGTATATATATATTTTAAGATAGGGTTTCTCTATGCAGCCCTGGCTGGTCTGGAACTCACAGGGAACCTTGTGTCTTTGCCTCCTGAGTGGTGATTTTCAAGTCATGTACCATCATGCCTGGCTTATATGTTCCATTTTAATT